AGACATTCATGTAAAAAAAACAATAAAAATACAAACACAAAACACAACAAAACAAAAACAGACAATTATCAATCAGAGACATCCTGCAGGGGAGGAGGAGGGAGAGGGATCAGAAGGAGGGAGGAAGGAGCACAGATGCATTGGTGAAGGAAATTCTATGGGGACTACATGGGGGAGGTGATGGGGGAAGCAAATATTGTTAAAAAATGAAAAATGATGTAAAAAATAAAAACAAAAACAAAATAAATAAAAATTAATTCTTCCAATTAACAATTGGCAAGTTACCTTAGAAGAAGAAACATAGCTGTTTGCTTTCCCATCTACTAAATAGGGATAGGAATTACAATCATATAGTTTTGTAAGAATTAAACAGACATATATATATATATATATATATATATATATATATATACCTGGCATATTTGGGGGGAGAGGTGTCAATGAAAGCTAGCTGACTATTAAAAGGCATCTAGCAGAGTGTTAAGCACAGAGGAGAGGGCTCAGTTGTTTTCTGCTAAGCTACACCTATTGATTACTTTCTGTTTGATAAGCTTTGGTCATTAACATATCAGCAATTTTCTTCTACAAAGTTCTTTACTGTAATTCTTCAAGCTACCAGTGACATATTTTAGAGGTAAGACAGTTATAGCTAAGAAACTTAACTACAGTATGCCAGGGAACTATTGAGAATCTTGTTCTATAAAGTGGGCCAAGAATATTTCTCAGAATCCCAGGCTCTTGGAGCAATTTTTTAAAAAATGTACTCTGATTGGCCATTCCCCTACATAAGCAAGTATAATAGTACCACCTGTTCCATGAACCGCCAGGCAAATGCCCATTCCCCTTCCCTTTGACCTGAATAAATAATACCAAAATGGGGCTTGGAAGTTTTCTCTTCAAACCGCTGCTCCTGCATTCTCTGCTTCTCTATGAGTTAAGGTATGTCTCTTTGGGATGCTGATTTGCACTTAAAAAAAAAAAACAAAAACGAATTTATACTTGGAAGGTTTACTGCAATATTATATGGTGATGTAATTATTTATGTAGTCCCAGCAGAGCCTATACAATCCAAAAGCTTTAAAATCTATATCTACAGTTATAGATTTAGACAGTTCTCCCCAACATCATTTACACACCCCTCAAATATTTCTTTAAGTTCCAGACCATTTTTCAGCATAACTGTGTTCTCTCTATTTTGACAATCTTAAAACAGCCTTAGTGAAGTTTAAAATTAAAGTCACAAGTCTTGCCGTCCAGACAGGGAATAAAATATAAACTCTAAGGTGATCTCATGTGTTCAGAATTATGCCTTTAAAGTTCAATTGACTTAGAATATGGACCAAACAGAAAATAGTATTTAGACAAAAGCACTTTCTCTACCCAATTTTAGCTATTTTTATTTTTAACATTAACAAAGCTAGGTAAGTCAAAGCATTTTTCATGTGATTTCCTCTGTTTTAATTTGGAAATCTATGTATAAAAGTAAATATGCAGTAAGTATGGCAATAAATTATGACCACAATCTGTTTTAAAGGAAGCCCAAAATAATATATTGCCCATTTAGGTACTTCATTTGCAGAATTTTTATATGAAATGAATTTAACACCTCCTAGAAAGTGAAAAATAATTTCTGCTTCCATAGTTGTTAAACTTGTGGGGTCTATGTCAGTGACAATTAAAAGAAAGTAGCTTGAAGGGGGGTTTCATTTAGCTCTCCCATAACTAAATAAATAAAGTCGCCAATCCAAATAGAATGCAACAGTAATGTTATTCAAACTCAGCACCAAAATCAGTCCCCAAGCTGCTCCTTCTAACAGGTGCTGCCCCAAAACTTCTCCCATCCTGACACACTAGAGAATCCACTGGTTCAAATTTCTCTGAAATTTAAGTTTATATCATTATGACCATCATTCTGCCTATCAAAATGTTGTGTCGGGCCTCCCCTGGTAGCGCAGCGGTTGAGTGCTGGGCTGCGAAGCTGCCCACAGCCTCTGCAGCACGGGTTCGATCCCCGGCCTCTGGCGAGGGTCCCACATGGCACACAGACCTCTCCTGCCGTGCCCGCTGCTCCCCTCAGCAGTGTATTTCGTCAGTCTGCCTGTTCTGTTCCCTGCTCTGGCTCTGGTGAATCCTCTCACCCTCCCGTGCTTCTGACTAAACCCAGTGCTTGTATAAATAAATAAATAAATCTTAAAAAAAAAAAAAGATGTGTCATAGTTCGGGTATAAGAGTAAGGGGTGAGAAGCCCACCCCCCACCCCATACACACAAAAAGGAAACCTACTGTAAGCCACTTTGCATAAGAGACTCATTTGCATAAAGTTCTAGACCTTTGGGCAAAACTGTGATCTTACTTTAGCTACAGAGCTTTTCTGGGCCTCAATTTCTCTACCTGTAGAATGCAGACTAAGAAAGTGCTGATCTCAGAAATCTGTTGCAAGGCTGGGAGCCTCAGATTCCTGGTTTAGGTTACTGGCTGAACCTGGAATGCCACTACTAATCTTATACACCTGGGTCCCTTTTTATTATTTTTAACCAGCTTTCTGGAGGAAGTAACAAACCCTTGCAGAGCAGGACAAATGCAGAGAAATGGGGTCTAGATACTACTGGTGTGTCAATGGCCCCCTGGCCCTGTACCCTACCCAGTGGAAGAAGCTGAGTGATTACGAGGAGCAAACCTCTGAGGCCTATCTCAAGTCTCACTTTCTTCCTTCCTTTACTCATTCAGTACAAACAAAGGGAAATGTTTCCAAAAGAAAGTTCTTGGCTCTTTTTTTTTCTTCTTTTGCTCACAAAGAACTTTTCCAGAAAAGAGGAATGGAGTACAAAACAAAGAAGCAAACAAAGGACTTGGAACTTTGTTCTACAGTCTACAGAAAGTCTACAGAAAGACTTCCACTTGTGCTCAAAATCACTGACTCTTTATTAACTGTAGCTCAGCTTCCCTTGTAGGTGTGTGTCTGGGTGACACGCAAGTACCAGCCAGGGAGAGCTCCTAGGGCCCTGGTTGAGCCCGGAGGACGTGGCGCCAAGTCACGGTCTGAAGTCCTGGTGGGGGGAACTCCTGGAGACTTGGCCCACAGGGAAGAAAGCCTCCTCGGGTCAGCATCCTGCCAGGCCCCATAAGTAGATCTAACTATGATCGGTTACTTCAAAAAGAGGATTTAACCCAAAGCAGATTTAGTAGGGCAGTTTCCAAAGGGCAGCAGAAATCCCAGGCCTGACCTTTGAGAAAATCCTGAAGGCTTCACTGCCTTGGTAACACGGCTAGTTCAGATCACAGAGAACTTCAGAGACGCTAACTTAAGTTATCAGGGTCCTAGAGGGGGTGGTTAATTAAGCATAAGTGGCATCTGTCAGGGTCTGTCCAATCATGTACACTGGGAGTCGTCAGGGATTGATCTGGGAAAAGCAGCAGCAGCAGCAGCAAAGTACTAAAATATAAGCCCCGTGAGTCAAAAATTTAAAATTTAAAGTAGTTTGATTTTTAAGTATGAGTCAAAGTTCTTTTTATATTCCAGTGGTGCTGATCAAATTATCAAAACCATCTTAAGATAATTTTTTAGAATCTGACTTTGATTTTAAAAGCCTTCCACATAGAACTTTACTCAGGAGATGTGATAGCTGCAGTTGTTTTTGATAAAACTAAACTCAAAAATGGAGCAAGGGGTTGGAATCGTTCATCGAGAGTTGAGCAAGGTGAAGTTAGTAAACAAATGGAATAGGCTCATAGTATCATGTATAGAAAAGTACTGCATTAAATATAAAGTTTACCCTGTCATAGAAACTTCTTTGCAGTATTTTTGTGCTTGAGATAGGAAAGTTTATAAAGATCAAGGTGGTGGATTTTATTCTCACTGATGGGTTACTCTAAAATGTCAAACTAGACCATCTGTTTTTTCAAACATGAAACTGATAATTCTTAGTTTATAGGAGCAAAAGATAGGCTTTTTAAGGAAATCATGAATTACAAGTATTTCATGCAACACCTCCATTTCTCCTCCCCAAGGATGTGCCAAGTCCAATAATATTGGTAAATATTGCCAATATTTTTTTAAAAATCAGCACAAACCTGTTTTGTTGCATGCTTTTATTTACTCTGATTATGACAGATTTTTTTTTTCTTACATGTAAACTAATCTGGAAAAGTCATTATCTCCTTTTAAAAATTTAATCGATAATAAAGCTGGGATTGGTAAAAACTCTGAGTGACTCTTAATTTGCAAGATCTAAACACAGAAGCAGACACTTGGTAACTCAAAGCCTTAGTATTTGATGTCATTGGTTTCAAAAACTGGCATTCACAGACATATCCATTCAGCTAAGGGAAGGAAAGGAGAGAATATGCTAAAATTAAGATGCTGAAAAAACTGGATTGTATAGAAGAGTTAATTATAAAACATTTTAATTTGAAGTATGTGCTGCAAATATGGCAATCCCTTGTCTGAGAAAATGACCTACTAAGACAGACATCAAGGCTCAATGAAATGTTTTTTACTTTGAGTTTAGTTATTTATGTTGAGTTTTAAGAGTTTTGCAACCCTAAGGAAGTGAAGCAGATAGTTCTAGCCACTAAGTAATTTATACACAACCAAATATAATGAATAAGATTCATTTTAAATGGTTAAATTTAAGCATTTTCTTTCCTAAATAAATAGAAGGCAACTAGCAGAAAGGGTTTTCAAATATAGATGTTTCATTGATCAAGGTCAAATATTGAAACAAAACCAAGTTCTGTGGGTTTGTTTCCAGCTTCATGGCATTACAACATTCTTGTGCTACCCTACTTAGGTGCATCCCCAAACACACAAAAAAAACCACATTAATAATTGCAGGTAAAAGTATCTCACTTTCTATGGTCACAAACCATTCAGAAATTGGAATTAGACCCTGGGCACCTGTCTGTGGTGTCACCAGACCTAAGTCTGATCTCTGACAGGAAGGACAGAGATGACAGGCCTGCGAGAATCCAGTGTGGCTGGAGCCAGGTGTGCACATTACCTCTCCCGCTCCTGCTCCAGCAGGTTGGTGAAGTCGTCACTCTTGTTCATGTAGTCGGTGTGCTTATGCTTCTCATTCTCTAACTCATACACTGTGCGCCGGTGACACTTCTCTGCCAGCAGCAGCTGCTCTAGCATGCGCCGATAGGTTTCTTTCTGTTTTTCCTCAAGTCTGTCCAACTGAGTAAGCAAACATGGGAAAGAGCTTAACATTTTATTTCATTTGCATATGACTCTAAATAATTTGTTGACATTAGTCTAGGATTTATTACCTGAAGGGGAGAACATTGAGTCTGTTATTCTCTGCAATTTTCCCCATTCCATCATTTTCTCTGGCTAATTGGCTTTACAAACTAGCCATAATAAGGCTGCAGTAACTTCTCACCTGGCCCTTTTCTTCTATGAACCTCTGCATGGTTCCTATACTTTCAGAAGAGAACAAACTCTCACTGTTTTCATGAGATGGCGCAAAATGCTATACTCTCAAAGAAAGAAGATAACATCCTTCCTGATCTCAGAAAAATTAGGAGCTTAGTATGCACATATTGCAAATTGTTTCCCTGGGAAGATTTGAAGTTCTGTGCATTTCTAGGAAAAGTATATGAAAGAGACATAGGTGTGTTGTTTTTTTTTTTTTTTTCCCAAGAGAAGCTAAATCTGGGGATTTCAGAATGTATACAGACAGAGGACATGCCTCAGATAAAATAGGGCTTATCAGATATTATTATAGGGCCTTTGTACCTACTTCTCTGGCCAGGACATGAGCTCTTCAAGGGAGCATGCCTTACTGATCTTTTTAGTCCCTGGTGCCTACCACAGTGCCTGAACAAAATAAATGTTCAGTAAATATTTGTTAAACTGGACTGATTCTTTCAATATTGATAATTCTCTATCATATTCTTATCCACAGCTATCAACAGCAGCACTACTGACATTTTAGGCCAAATGTTTATTTTAGAAGGGCTGTCCTGTGCATTGGATGGCCTTTAGCAGCATTCTTGGCTTCTGCAGCTAAGAGGCCAGTAGTACCATCCCCAGATGTGACAAAACTATCCCCAGACAGTGCCAGATGTCCTCTGGAGGGAAAAATCTCTGACCCTGAGCCAACACTTTAGTTGAAACAGACATATTTAAAATCTATTCCACAGCCAACTTGCTCTGATCCCCTGGAGTAGCTTCAGACGATAGTCACATCAGAATTATTCCCCATTTCCATTTTTGTCCTTCCATCATATGGAGAATCCAGCATCCTCTATAATTGCACAATACCTTTATTGTGAATAGATCATCTCTGGAACCTAAAATAAAAGGGATCTTATTCCGATAATCCTCCATGTCTCCTAACTAGATCTTCATTAACTTTGCTTAAGAGTAAATGACAGAGCCTCCCCGGTGGCACAGCGGTTGAGCGCTGGGTTGCAAAGCTGCCTGCAGCCTCTGCAGCACCAGTTTGATCGCTGGCTGCTCCCTGGCCACTGGAGGAGGGTCCCACATGGCGCGCAGACCTCTCCTGCCGCCCGCTGCTCCCCTCAGCAGTGTACTTCGGTCCTTCTGCCTGCTCTGCTCCCTGCTCTGGCTCTGGTGAATTCTCTCACCCTCCTGTGCTTCTGACTGTACCCAGTGCTTGTATAAATAAAATAAATAAATAAATATATCTTAAAAAAAAAAAAAGTAAATGACAAACTGGTGGAGAAGCCCAGGCTAACTGGACACTGATGATATCTGAGATCATCAGGTATTGTCAAATTGTGCTTTTATGTCTCCTGGTAAATTTCTGTAGTCTCAAAGGAACAGTCTATACAAAAAATTTTCTCACTGGAATAACTGTTAAAAAAAACATTCTCCCATGTTTCTATAAATGTGATTTTTACCATGTTTTATAGAGTTTGTCAAGCATTGCCAAAATATCATAGATATGTGGAAGTAGCAATTCTCTCCCCCTTTTGGTCTTACCTAATGTATTATAAATAAGGACACTTTAAGATGGGTTCCTAGGTCTGGGAACAAGGGATAAGATAAAAAGATTAAAGAAGTTTTAAATATGTAGGTAGAAAAGCAGAGCACCTAAAATTAGATGTAGGGATAAAAATGTCACCATTACAAACTCCTAAACATTGCAAAAACATAGGTATGTTTCAAATGCCACTCACTGAGGCCAAGGATAGTGCATCCACACAGACACCTCTGCCCAACCTAGGGTTTGCCATTTCCCAGAATTATTCACCTTTGATGGTAACAGGATGTGTCTAATGTGGACAACTGTCCCAGACTTACTGGAATCCTGTAGTAGCTGAAGATTATCGTTATCTACCTTCTTTCCTTAACCATACCCTATCTCTGCTCTGACATTTGTAATAACATAAACCTGCATTGTGTTTAGTCCTGGGCTCAAGAAATATCATTCGACTTGAGATAAATTGACCTTGAAGAGAGAGATTTTCATATATCTATATATATATATATATATTTTTTTTTTTTACAGGAAACCATAGATGAGAGACATTCTGTAGGGAAGGAGGAGGGAGAAGGATCAGGACAGGGGAGGAAAGAGCACAAGAGACTATGGTGATGGCGCACAGGTGAATTGGTGGAAATTTCACGGGGAAATCATAATTGTACAAAAATGAAGGATGATGTAATAAATATATATGTTAAAAAAGATTTTCTTATATTTTTAAAACTTATGAATGAGAAAACAAAAGCAAGTTCTAGTTGGGTAACCAATTAAGATCCCTTTGGCTAAGTTGAAGCAGAACAAGAATTTGGGAAGGAAAGAAAATGAAACCTTAATTTCTTTGGAATTTTGGATAAGAGTTACAGACTTTGATATCATCGGCTTTAATTCACAAGGAAGTTTAAGGAAGTTAATATTTGTACCTTAATATTTGTACCCCCCCCAGGTATTTGGCAAGGGGCCTACAATATTGGGGTCACTGCTAATTATCTGGTGAGTTCTATTGAATAACTTAGCTGGGTTTAATTGGTATGGAAATTAGAATGAGCAGTGATAGTTCATAGATTAGAGGCAGTGATCCTGGTGTGTCTTTTGTGGAAGCTGAGTTCTCCAATCCAGGTTGTTATAACATAATGTTAAGTTGATGTTTTGACCCCTATATGTCTTTTACTTCTCAAATCCCTCTAACTTTGGAACTAATTAAGGATGTCAGCAATTATCACCTTTAGATCCCAGCAAATACTTATAGCTAATATTGTTGAGTACCATGTATGTACCAGAAACTATGTCAAAAGCTGTATAGGCATTGCTTCACTTAATCCTCCTACAATTCGATGAAATTTGTGTGGTTGTTACTCTCATCTGATAGTTAAGAAACCTGAGTCTTACCCAAGTAACATTGATTCTCAGACATGAAAGTAGTTCTAGCTGATGACTGCATGCTATCATATAACCATCTATTAGCATTCTATGAAAAAATTAGAGCTCCCATTTATGTTTGTGTGTAGAAATTAAAAAATCATGGGACCCTCAATCTGTTGTGTATACTGTGATCTTCTCTGGATCTGTCAAACTGAGCTATTGCAAAAGCTTGACTTAAGTTACAAGTTTAAATAATAAATTGCATCATATTTTCACTTTTGATACTGATTTTACAATTATGAATTTTTTACATGAATTCTAAAATATCCATATGGCTAGATTCATCAACAGTTTCTCTATTTGGCACAGAACTTTTATACAATATGAGAGTATTTTCAACATGTAATATGCATCATTAGTAACAATAATCAATGGTTCCTAACACCATATTGTATAAGCATGATTAAATATAGCTCTACTAGATTTTCTTTCACATTAAACGATAATCCTAAGCATTCCATTGAAATGTTCCTTCAGCCAGTGTATTTTAGCTACCCACATGAAAATATTTTAATTATAACAAAGAAACCAAAACACAGCAACTATGTAACTATAAATATCAACAATAAAATCAATTAAGTTTTATATTACCAATTTGATAATAATCCTGACAAACCAGTGCTAAAACTCAGTACTTCAAGCTTTCATACATATCATCTCTTAGAGAAACAAGAGTAATAGACTGCAAGAGCATGTCATTATCATAATCATATGAAGAAATATGTTTCATGCATTAAGTATATTTAACAAAAGCTTTTAAAATTCTTATCCACAGTCCTTGAATTGCTTAATTACACCTTAATTCTATGTTGGGTTGTCATAAAAGATTTTGCCTTTGAACGAAAATGTTACAGAATATGAAACAGAAGAATGTGAAGCTATAAGTCTGCTGTGCCCTTCTAGGAGCACTTGCTAATGTCATATTTTTACCTCTGAAATCGGTTTCTCATAGACATCTTCTCCTATAGATTTTTCCTGGGCTAGGATGGCATCTCGGTGCAGGACCCGCAGCACTTTCTCTGGCTCTGCAGACCCGTAATGAGCCTCCAGAACCTCAGGCTTGGTTTTCTCTGTCTTCAGCATGTGGATCACATCTTCTCTGGCCTGTGGTAGAAAGTGCAACAAGGTAAGACAGTTGACAACATAAATATCATGCCAGGCTCACAAAATCAACACAGCATATTGAGTACATCCCATCTCTTCTGGGCTATTGGCAAATTCACTGGGTCTTCTGTTCGTATTTTTCACCAAAAGCAGATTGGCACGCAGATACTGTGCTTCAGGTTGCTAGGAAGCAGGCAAGCAGGAAAAGGGTTTATGCTAATATTAACTACATAAAAATTGCTTTATCTAAGTAGTGATGATTCTGAAAGGGGGGCAGGAAAGTTCCTCAGATACTTACCCTGTGTTAGTATGCCTTTGGTCAATGACAATTTAAAGTTTTCTGAGTTTCTATTTATGATCTCTATGTAGTATTCAAACCTGGTGTAAAATAAAACCCTGCTCTCTCCATTCCAGTTATAATTCCATGTGCAACTAACAAAAAAAGTCTTTATTAGCAATTTCCTCTTTCCCATCAAGTGATTCATGTTACACAGTTAAAATACTTAGGAACTTACACAGTGCTGGGCTGGACTTTTCCATCTAACATATTCTCACTAAAGGTGAAATTTAACCCTTTTAATTTCCAGACTTACAATCAGATGAAGCAGGTTGGCAGGAACAGTTTTTCTTTTGGTCTCTTAACAAAATTATGATTGTTGAAGCTCATAAGATAAACATAATTATAGATTTTATATCATATTGATTATGGGTCCCCTTATATAATGCAAATAAATATATCTGGGTGTATTTTCTACTGGGTAGTAGTAATGATTGTTCTAATTATAATGGAGCTGACATTTGCTAAATGTACTCCCATCTGGTCATATACTTGTTTTTCCAGTTATGATGATGGATAGGAAGTATTCTAACTTTTTCCAACTTGTATTAAAGAACAAACTGCTTGACAACAAAATTCAGTTTGTGACTCCTGTGTTATGCTAACTATGGGTTTGAAATGAAAACCTGGCTCATTATCATGATATTTTAAATAAGGGTGCTAACTAGTTAGACCTGAAATAGGATCATCATAAAGTTTGCCTTTCTTTTTTGATTTTAAAAGATTTCTTTATTTATGCATATAAGAACTGAGGTATAGGCCAGGCCAGAGGTGGGGGGGGAGGGAGGGGAGAGGATTCACCAGAGATAGAGAACAGAACAGGTAGATTGACTGAAGTACACTGCACCCCTCAGGGAGCAGTGGGGCGAGACAGGAGAGGTCTGCTACACCATGTGGGTTAGCTCCCTGGCAGGGGTCCAACTCATGCTGCAGTGGCTGCCTGATAGCTTTATAGTTCTGAGAGTCAACCCCTTACACCATCGGGGAGGCCCTATAGTTTGCCTTTCTTGAGATTTCTCACTTTCGTGCTTTTTCATTGTCTCCTAGTTAATCTAATTCCAGATGGCTAACACTAATTTATTACATAAACGCCAATGCACTGGAATTTGCAAATTTTTCCCCTGTTGTTCCTGCCACATATACATGTCCTAATTTCAAGATAAAAATAAAATGGAAAATATTTATTTTGAAGAACCTAGTGTTTTAGAATTAGCAAGAAAGTTAAAGTCAGAAAACTGTTTAATGGGAAGGCAATGTGTCTCCATACAAGGTGAAAGGACACAAGCATTGCTCCCTTTGGCAGCACATATGCTAAAACTGGAACAATACAGAGAATAGCATGACCCCTGCACAAGGGTGACATGCCAATTTGTGAAACATTGCCTATTTTCTATACTGTCCAAAAACTAACAAGGATGTAAAACAATGGTGCTTAAATATATATATATAAATAAAATTGAAAGTTAAAGAATTTTATAAAAAGAAACAAAACTGTACTTTTATTAAAAAAGAAGAAATACATAATTCCTATTTAATATAAATGAAATAAAGACAAATAATGTAATAGAAAGTTCTCTTGTTCATGTACCAGTGCTGATAAACCACCTCCACTCTAATGATAGACAAGTCTATGCATAGTTTCTCTGAGGGTTAACACAAAGGAAACATAAAACCAAATCAGCCCAAATGATTATTCCACATTGTTTTTGACACTGTTTGATTCCTTTTAGAATTATTTCAAACACAGCAGCAGAGCTACAGATAGAACAGCTATTGAGCTAAGTGTACTGAAAACAGGATAGTACAAAGACTATAAATTTTCCCACCTAATATTTATCCTGATTAGTCACTTTCTGAGTAAACAGCTGAAGGAATCACAACAGAACTATTTCCAGGTGGCATTTCCACAAATGATATTTTGCAAAAAAAGGTCCCTAATTGTGGATAAAGATCATCATTTTTGTACAATGTATGATTTCACTGTTAGTATACATTAATAGATCTGAGCATAAAGGACATTAAATAAATCTTAAATCTATCAAATAAAAATTGGAATTCAAATACAAAAATAAAATTCACCAGATGGTATAGTAATCGAGCCCAGTTTGAAGAAGCTAAGAATTAACTTCCAATCCCAGTGTGATTTGTACAAGTTGTTAACAATACTTTGACCTAATTTTATTGTCCATGAAATAGGATCATGGTAACTTTCTCATATGATTATTGTTAGGATGAAATCAGTTATAAACAGATAACACCGAGCTTTGCACACAATAGGTGCTAGGTGATGTTAATAATTTACTGGCATTTCTCTTAGGTTTCCATCATTTGATGCTTTTTTGCTGCACAGGGAGACGAAAAGAAGTTTATAAAATATATTCTTCCCAAAAAGAAGTTTATAAAAGATATTCTTCCCAAAATAGCCAAATAAAAGATTTATGACTGATACCATTTAACTGTGCAGAAATTTCACAATTTGCTCTGAACATTGTTTCAAAAGGAGTCTTTTGTTGCATGACAATTTCACATAAAATAAAAAATTCTCTGCTAGAGTTCTATTTTAATAACTAAAATTCATTAAAATAAAAATAAGAGATTTTAAATAAGAGTCTCTTTCCAAAAGTTATTTAATCCCTCTGACTAAGTTCCCTTGGCTGTAAAATGAGGGCACTGGTCCCTCTATATAATAGGGAGGGATCATACAAGGTTCTAGCAAGATAAAGTAAATAAAGGGCTTTTGAAACTATAGATAGGTTGCTATTTCAGTTTAAAAGTTTAAACTATTCAGTTTAAAAATATGTAAGTATTGTTGGCTTTTATCTTCTTGACCAAATCTTCATCATTCTCTAAGAATTTTATTTCAACTTATGTGAAACAGCTATTTCTTCTCTCCCTAAAATCACTTATGCTTTAACTGAATTAATTTTAATATTCTGCACATGATACATGTTTAATTATTGGTTTAATTACTAGACACTAAATACTAAAGAAAAAGACTATGATGACCTAATACTGTGTGCTATATAGAACCAAACTATTATAAATTTACAAAATGCTTTTTCAGGGCCTCCCCTGGTAGCGCAGCGGTTGAGCGCTGGGTTGTGAAGCTGCCCGCAGTCTCTGCAGTGCCAGTTCGATCCCGGCTGCTCCCAGGCCACCGGAGGAGGGTCCCACATGGCGCGACAGACCTCTCCTGCTGCGCCCGCTGCTCCCCTCAGCAGTGTATTTCATCAGTCTGCCTGTTCTGTTCCCCACTCTGGCTCTGGTGAATTCTCTCACCCTCCCGTGCTTCTGACTGTACCCAGTGCTTGTATAAATAAATAAATAAATCTTTAAAAATAAATAAATAAATGTTTTTTCATTGCTATAGTAATAATAATCATGGAAGGAACATGAGTATTGCTTTTGAATTTTTGCTATTTAAAATAGTAAATCATTAATACTGTGGTTATCTGTTTAGTCAACATATTTAATGAAGATAATGATGTGATCACGGAAATATTTTCACTACTTTAATCACATGACTGAATTTATGTAAATATGACCCCACATTGTTGAATTAAACCCTTTTATATCTCCATTTTGAGAACTTTGTTAATTTTTCTATAAATGAATGAAATTCAAAATATAAGAAAGTTTCTGTTCTTGAACATGACCATTTTCTTAGAGTTTTATCAGGAGCAAGTGATAGCAAATCTTAGGATACTAGGAAGCTGCTAACAGGCCACTTATTTAAATGCATGTAAAAGAACCCAGAAGGAAGCATACTTTGATGAGTACTCTAGAAAAGAAAGAGAAAGGAGACCAGAGGAGGATGAGAAAATAAAAATGTTCAATTTATTTAGTTCTGATGATGACAGGGAATAAATATGAGATTAGGTTATAGAAAAACACAAAAAGGGTCATATCCTTTTTTCCCACTCTACATGGTCTCTCTTTCTGCCCTAGGAGGCATAAGAAGGCCAAGAAAGTGATGTTCCCCTCCCCAAGAACTGAAACTGTACCAGGTGCCACAAAGGGCTATCTCAATTGGCTGCATAAGAAATTGGCTCAAAACATGTGGGGGGCAGCAAAGAGCCACTTTGCAAAACCCAGGACCAACAGGTGAGTCTGTGATTCATCTTAAATAGCCAAGAAAGGGAGGTGGGCTTTGCTGGGAGCAGGAGAGATCAGATAAGACAAAGACAGGAATAGTCACCTAGATGGCATAATTGAAAAGAAGGATGAATGCAATCATTCATTCAATAAATATTTATGCATGTTTACTTTGTGCAATGTATTGCATTCAGTACTGGAGATATAATTGCATCCTCAGGGATTGAAGTCTAGAAGGATATAGACAAACAACTGAAAGGTATTCACAACATAATATGATAAGACTTTGGGTGCAGGAGCTATAGTAGGCTAAGAATTCCATTGAGAAGAATACTTAACTTGAATCTGAGCTATAAGAGGAAGCTTCCTAGAGGACATGACCCAAATCTCACAATGAATACTTAAGACAGAAAAAAAGGGACGAGTTAGGATGAGAATGTGTTAGGTCAAGGGAAGACTGTAGGCAAATGTCAAGTAGTTTTAGGTGTACGACTCAGTGCAATATAAGATTGGAGTGGCAAACAATAGGCAACTCATGAAAAGTCATAAAGTGAGTTTTCATTTTACTACTGAACAAAAGAAAGAAGGCTTGGAATATTTAAGCAGCAAAGCAGTAACATGGTCAGATTTGTGTGGTGGATAGATCACTCATCTACTGTGTTAAAGATACAGACTGAAATTCTGAATCATGAAGTCTTGGTGTAACCCAAAAATTGCAATTTAAAGTATCTCTGCAGATATTTCTAAAGTGCAGCTGTAATTAGAAACTGGTGCTCAAGTACAGGAGGATGAGTTAGTTCAGCATCAAAAACAATTAAAATGCCTGCTTTGTTGCTCAAGGTTCCCAACTGGGTTGTTTGTCTCAAGGGTTCTCAGTGTTCTACCTATATATCCATACTGCTAATGCTGATCCTTCACCAAGGAGCCATGCTACTTCAGGTCAGCAGGAGGGTACCTGGAAACAGTTGAGAAATGTTTGCCAGTTCTAGGCAAAGTAAGTGACCAACTGTCCCATTTTGCCTGGGACGAAGGGATCTCACAAAACTGGACTTTTGAAAACCAGGACAGACCCAGATAAACTTGGATGAGGTCATCACTGAAGGATAAAGACTGAATGAGTAAGATACTGGATATCCCAAAATGTTCCTATATCTAACTGGGCGGCTATGGGGAATTACTATACTCAGGAACTGGATTTCATTGACAATATTTCCAAATTGTAGTTTTCTTTAAAGGAAAAATGCCATTATTGATGATTATGCCTGGTGACAATTCTAACTAATTAAAATACTCTAACTAATTAAATAATCTTAACAATTAAATATGTGGGGGGTTTACCTGTAGGGGAAAACCCATAATAAGCATGAAGAATACTTAGTTCTTATGCCCAGTTGACATAGCTTTTTCCAACATTTCTAAAATGGGATGTGCATAACCCTGGGAGCATAGGATGGAATCACAGTGAACCTTGGAACATCCAGTTAAACCTGATGCATCCTCCTGAAACACTAAGATTATTACAAGTTTAATATTCACTTGAATATTTAGGAAATAACACAAGACTTAAAAGCATTTGCTTGAGGTACACAGCTTGGGACAGACTCTTAGATGATGCCACCAGACCCCAAGTTTGGTGGTCTACTTAGTTGGTTGAGAGGGAGAAGCCTGTCCCTACCTAATGACTGTGAGCACCTCAAACAAGATATTTCCTGCACATCTCAAAAAAAGATACATTTTGAGGAAATAAGTCTGTTTCTATGCATATGGAAGAATCAGAATGTCACAGATCCTAAACACTATCACATCTTTGTATTATTTAGTCAACTACCTAAATAAGGTCCAATTGCTGCAGTGAATCAGAGAATCTTGGAGAACATGGTCCTGGAAAGCTAATGCATGCCCATTATGTGAATGTTTCCAGCCATTCTGAGAACTCCATCTATTTAAATAAGGCAATTTATTAGTTTACTTGTCTGTTTCTTTCTTAGGCTAAGAGCTGCTTTGAGGACAGGGACTGTGCCTACAGCGTCTACTAAAAGACTGCTTACCCACATGATAGGTACTCAGTAAATATTTGTTGCAGTAAAGTAAAATTAAGTGCTGTGAAGTCAGAGAGGCATAAAATGGCACTGAAAATCTCAGGACAACCTTAACTACTTAGCCTTGTTTTTAAAGATATAAACAATTACATTTTGTCAACTTCTACTCTTTCATCTGACATTTTTGTCTACAATTTAGGAGTCACTTTGTTCTTCTTAAGTTTATTCCAAAAAGAAAATATGTAAACTGAATAAGGAAAAACAGTACATTCCACCAAAATGTTGCAACAGGAAATGGACTATCTTTAAACTCATACAAATTGAATTATAATATTTACCCTAGTTAGGTAAATATGAATATTGTAAATGGCCTGGGAGGAAAAAAAGCTATAAAATTTGTGATGTTATTAGCTATTACTACATAATCCATTTCATTTTTTTTCTCCTGAATTTTAGAAAGGAAATTTAACATGCTTAGTAACACAATAACTCAAGGAGAAGATACAGACCCAGTTTGTTTAAAAGGCCATTAGGACTAAACATGTCACTAGTTTATTTGGAGAATTTTATTTCCACAACTATATGAACTATAGCAGCTTCGATCTCTAGTTTGTTCACTAACGACCATTCTTTCTAGCAATTCAAACTGAGTATCATCCAAAAGAAATATTTTATTAAATGTCCGAAGCTTTTTTTCATATTAAAACTGGCTTTTATTATCACCATGATAGCTTGAATTTTTTTAAGTAAAATTCCTCAAAATCCCAATGATATTTTTGCATAAATAGAAAACTTTGTATGGCATTTCAAGAAACCCTAAATAGCCAAAACAATCTACAGAGTTGGAGATCTCACATTTTATGATTTCAAAATTTACTGCAAAGCTACGATAATCAAAACAATAAAGACATACATGTCGGCCAGTGGATTAAAATAGAGAACCCACAAATAACTCCTCATGTAAATGATCAAATGACTTTCAACAATGATTTCAAAACCAGTAGGTGGGAAAAGGACAGTCTTTTTGATAAATTATAATGGGAAAACTGTATAATCACAAGCAAAACAACGAAAATGGATCTTGTACCATATATAACAGTTAACTCAAAATAAATCAAATACCTAAATGTAAAAGCCAAAAGTCTCAGGAGAAAAAATTGAGGAAATAAACCTAATGACATTGGCCTTGGCAGTGATTCTTGGATATGACACCAAAAGTACAGGCAAAAATAAAAAAGAGATAAATTGAACTACATAAAAATAAAGAGCTTCTGTGTACCAAAGAACAAAGTTAACAGTATGAATAGCAATCCACAAGATGGGAGAAAATGTTTGCAAGTCTTATATTTGATAAGGGATTAATTTCCAGAATATGCAAAGAACTCCTACTCCTACAACTTATCAACAAAAACCAAAATAACCTAATTAAAAAAATGGCCAAAGCACTAAAATAGATGACTCTTAAAAAATATACTAATGGCCAACAAGCACATGAAACAACAAGCACAAATAATTAGGGAAATGAAATCAAACCATAGTAATACCACTTCACAGCCAAAAGGATAGCCATCATTAAAAAAAAAAAATCAAAGGATAAAAAGTATTGGCAAAATATGAAATTGGTATCCTTGTGCAGTGCTTGCGAAATGCAAAACAGTACAACCATTTATGGAAAATGGTATTTTCTTCAAAAACTCCCTCAAAAAAATAAAAAACAGATTATCTTTTACCTAGCAACTCCACTTGTGGAATATAGCCAAAAGATTAAAGCAGGGACACTCATGCTTTTAGTAATATGATTCCCAAGAGCCAAAAGGTGAAAACAACATGAATGTTCATTGACAGAAGAATAGATAAACAGAATATGGCATATACATATGTATATATTGCGATATTCAGTCTTAAAAAGGAAGGAAATTCTGATGTATGCTACAACATGGATGAAACTTGGAGACACAATACTAAGTGAAATAAGCCAGTCACAAAAGTACAAATACTGTCTAACTCCACTTATCTGAGTTACTTAGAATAGCCAAATTTATAGACAGAATAAAGAATAGTGGTTGTCGGGGGGGAATGGAGGATGAAGAATGATTCTTTAATGGGTACAGTACTTCAGGTTTGGTAGATTAAAAATGTTCTGGAGCCAAATGGTGCTTATGGTGCATAACAAGATGAATGTATTTGATCCCAGTGAGTTCCACACTTTTAACATTGTATAAAATGTTAAATTTTATGTTATGTATACATTAGTACAGTTCATCAAAAGTTAAAATTATCTTGTTAATCCCCCAAAAGTTAGCACTTTATAAAGTGCTATACAGATTAGCACTTTATAAAAAAGCAAAATTCTATGAAAATTCTATGTAATAAACTATAAAGTTTAGTTTTAATTTTCTTTGAGTTAGCCACTAAACATCAGTCATCTGTGGATTTAAATGTATTTTCACTACTTATGTGCTTTTCTTCTTTTCTCTTTTTTTACACACATTGGGATACTAATAGTATGTCAGCTGCTGTGTCCTGGATTAGTAATTAGATAAGGTCACAGGTTCCCCCATGCAGTTTTGTGATCCTACAGTGTATAATTTCTTAAATTCCAAAAGTCTACAAGCTTTTTATTCTGGCTAATAAAGACCTTGGCAGGGCTCTTAAACTATCCACCCCTATGCATAATCAGGGCCAGCAGATATGTAGGGCACAGTTTTCTGTGATCCAGTTGAGGAGATGAACTCTTTAGAATACGGGAGACGTCATCCCTAAGGCAAACCAGATGATTATTTTCTCACAGTGGTTGTTTATCTAGCATCATAAATTTAATCCCCTCCACATAAATCAGCTAGATGAGACTCAGAACAGATAAAGCCTCTGTGCCAGATCGGGTACCAGACGTATCTATTAGGTTAGGTTATTAGGTTATATTTTCTTTACCTCCTTATTATTTTCCTATGACTATCTCCTTTTCAGATGGTTTCTGGAATTTATTTTTCAGTCTTGAACTAATTCCTTCAGTGTAATCCCATCTAGAGAATTGACTAGCAGGGTGGCCTTGCCAAAGGACTATTTGCATGAGGGAACTGAGGCTCTTCCTGGGAAAGAACTCATCCCAGGAGAGGAAGGGCACCATTTTGGTTGAAGGACAATGGAGCAGGGTCAGAGGGGAAGGGTGAGTCTGAGTGCAGCACAGTGTCTGTCACTCAGACTCCCCCCCCCCCACACACACACCCCTCACCCATGCCAGAGTCACAGGGTGAGGAATTGCCATAAAAGACCCAAATAAAAACTAGAGGAATTGGTAAATTAGAATTCAAGGCATTGCAGATTCAGCAGTAAGGAGGGGAAGGAAGGAAGGGCAGTACTCTCTGTATCTTGCACCATGCTCTCAGCCTAGATTTTAGCCTGAGCAGCCTCCAAGTTGACATTAACTGACAAAAAAACAGAAGAGAAAGCCACCGGGACACACACAGAAGTAGTGGCTGTGCTTCCAACAGGCACTTAAAGCGGCAGCCACCATCACCACAGAGGGTCTGCGTAGGAAAAAGAGCAAAATGCCAAAGGCCCAATGGCAGCCCAGAGGAGTGTGTCTACACTGGGTCCTCATCCTCTGAGGACTTTTAACACATTGAAGGAGGAGTCTGAGGAACCAGGAGGAACCTGACATCCTCATGTATGGGCAGAGGCAGGTGGAGGTAGAGTCAGGAGAGGGAAAAAATAACTTTGGAAACTTTCTTTCATCTTACTTTTATCCTCTGACTAGTGAGGACTGGAAAATAAGGGTAATAGTTTTTCAAAAGATAAAATATTTTAATGAAAGAAGACTACATTGTCTAGATAAAATTTATATATATGGGAAATTTATTTGAAATATATAACACTGCATTGCTGTGCATTTATTGTGTTTTGTTGTTGTTACATTCACTTCAGCCTCTGTCCCAAGTGAATTCTATATAATACACTACCTTAGAACAGCTAGAAATTAATTTTTTAACAAAATAGAAAAAACATCTCAGTTACTATGCACCTATGGGGAATGTTACACAGGATATTTATTTTAATTAAAAAATCTAAGAGTACTTTCAACACTGGAGTTTTTCATTTTAAGGGTTTTGGAGTAGGAGCATCCTCAAATATATTATAAAGTCTCTTCCCTCCATAGAATGTAATGATATATGTTACATTTCAAGAACTAGGGGTGGTTGAAATATTAATTGTTCTACTCTACTACTATATTGTTATGTTTACTAAAACCACTTGCTTGTTGTCTTTCTTTTTAAACAAATCTCTTATGTAAACTTGAAGCTAGCTTTTGTTTATTTTTACTCCTACTCAAGAGAAGTATGGTAGAAAGAACATGCTTTTGGGAATCTTGAGTTAGATTGCATCAGCATTCTAGTAATGCATGAACATTACTGCTAGTGTGACCTTAAATGATTTAATTAGCATCTCAAATCAATTTCTTCATCTGCAAAATGGGTATTAACAGTAGGTAAAACCTGTGAGATAGGTTTTACCTATCCATAACACTACCTGGCAAATGTTAGTTACCCTTTCCTTGGGTGTAGAACACAAATTATGGCTCTGCCATTTACTAGAACCTTGGGTTAGTGAGCACTGAACTTAAAGTTTTCCCATCTGTGTGAAATGAAATATATATCAAGTGACTAATAAGTGCCTGTACTACAACAGATGCCCAATAAAAGGCAATTTCCTCTTTTCTCATAGGTGTGAACTGGTTGAAGTGGAGCAGCTGGAGCAGCTGGATCTAAAAGCCTTTCTACAAACGGACTCAATAAGTCAAAGGCTAAGACAGATTCTCTTATCCCTCTTGTTCTCAATAGCCTGTGATTGCCCAAACTACTCCTGGCAATGTTTGCAATTTCTTTTTTTTTTTAAGATTTACTTATTCATGCATACAAGAGCTGGGGTACAGGCCAGAGATGTGGGGGGTGAGAGGATTCACCAGAGACAGAGTGGGGAACACAACAGGCAGATTGACCGAAATACACTGCTGAGGGAGCAGCAGGTGAGTCAGGATAGGTCTGCTGCACCATGTGGGTTGCTCCCTGACTGACAGGGGATCAAACTTATGCTGCAGAGGCTTTGGATTGTTTCATAGTGCAGTGCTTAACACCCTGTGCCACCCGGGAGGCCCAATATTTGTGATTTCTATGCCACTGACCTACAAGACAACTGGCAACCCCAAAGCAGGGCAGATGACTCACCCTGCATTTCTGAGTCTTCTGCACTATTTGTTAATGTGATTCAAAGGAACAGTTCACTCTCTAATTCAAGAATTTGGACTACACTGTTTACTCTAGAGTCTGTATTCCTTCATCATCATGTCAAAAGATTATATTGCAGCCGAAATGACTTACACTTTTTCTAAACTTTTCTTAGTATTCTATTTATAATCTGGCATCAGTAAGAGGCAATGTGAAAGTGCACCTTGTGCTGGTTCTAGTGCTGTAAGCAGGCATTGGGCATTGCTTATAGATGAGAGCACAACCAGAGGCAAGTCCTCCAACTTAAGAAAGAAAATTACAAAATAGAAATATAAATTTTTAAAATTGCATCTTTGACATTTAATCAAATTCGTATGAGTTCCTATTTGGAATGTCCTTTTTTTTACAGAAAGGAGATCCCCAAAGAAGCTATAAACTTCTATATTATTTGTCATCTACTTCTCATTGGCAATATCTAGCCATCTAGTACCATATCTCAGGTTAAAATGTAGCCATTTTTACTTCTGCTCTTAAGATTGTCTTGCTTTCATGTGAATGGAGCTACAAGGAATTATGCTCAGTGAAAAAAGCCAGAAGGAAATAAAAAAATATCAGATGGTTTCTCTTAGAGCAGGAATATAGGGGAACCAAATAAGACATCAGTGTAAAAAATAATAACAGTACAGAACACAGCAAAGCAAAAATAGACAATTACAAATCTGAGACATACTGCAGGGGAGGAGGAGGGAGAGGGATCAGAGGGAGGGAGGGAGGAGCACAGGGGACTGAGGTGATGGTGCACGGGTACATTGGTGAAGGAAATTCTATGGGGATTACACCTAAGGAGGTGGAGGGAAGCAAATATTGTTTAAAAATGAATAATGATGTAAAAAATTTAAAAATATATAAAATAAAATAAAATTGAGTCTACAACAACATCAACAAAAAAGATTGTTTTGCTTTCTCACTCTATTAAACCAGAGATGGGAGACATGTAAACAAATTTAAATAAGAAAATCTCATGTGTATTGTTACTTTAGTGCTAGTGTTTAGGAGCCATGTGATGCTCTATGATTTGAGAATGGACATAAAATTGTAGAGCTGCCATTTCTGATGTCTGATACTTTCCTAATTACCATACATAACAGTTTTTAATCGTGATTGCTCATTTTCTGCCTCCCTACAAGACTAAGAACTCAGTGAGGGCAGAAGCCCCTTGTTCCCTTCTGTGTCTCTAGGCCCCAGCACAGTTTCCAATACAAACAGGTGTCTAATAAATTTTGTTAAATGTGTGGGCAAAATGTGTGTCTGGGGCTGCCTATTTTGTGTGTGTATTCAACTTGTCCGTCAGTGATTTCCTGTGTTTGCCTTTTTCAAAGTATATATATTTTCTACTTTGAGGACACAACAATTCTTTTGAACCCACTTTTTACCGTTCACTAGAGAAAGTTTAAATTCCAAATGATATTGCCTGTTACTTGCATTTATGTTCATGAAATTCCTGTTAAATATCCTTGTGATTCATTATCCTTATCGTATATGAGTTACAAGCAAAAATGAGATACAGTTAATTCTCATATTTTTTGCAGTAGCTATTTTCTGTAAAGTTACTGCCAAAACTAAATGAGAGAATACTGAGCCATTGTTTTTTAGGAAAATACAGAGTTAGGTTCCCATAAGCCTCTCATCATATTTCATCAACCAATCAATTCATAACCTTATTTTATGTGCGTACATGGGGGTTTTCTTTCATTTTTTTTATTTTTATTTTTTGCTTTTTTTTTGCTGTAAGATAAATGAATGAGTGAATGAATATATATAGGTAGTTATCTGACTTTTGCATGGGGGAAAAAAAAGTCAGAGAAAAGAATTAGGGATTCTACATGTAACATAAAGTCATAGCCAAATAAATGACAAAGAAAAGGAAATACTTGGAATAATTATGACAGATATTGGGTAACTCCTCAAACTATAAAGAGTTTACATAAATCAGAAGAAAGACACTGAAACTCATTAGAAATATGCATGGAACTTACAAACGTTATAATTAACTGATTATAAAGGATATTTAGGAAATAGTACAATTTAATAACTAAAAAAATACAAATTAGAACAATAATGAGACACCGTTGTTCTTAAACAAGGACAAAACTTAGAACTATAATAGTTTTTATATGTGAGAATTTGATTAGCGGGAAGTCTCATAATTTCGTTGTGAAGACATACAGATTCTGGAAAACAATTTGGCAACAATGCACATAAGAGACTTTTAAATTATTCACACTTTTATATTCAATATTCATGCCTTTAACAAAAAGAACAAAGACTAATGCACAAATATGCTTGTTGTAATGTTATTTATATTAGTAAAAAAATTGGAAAAATATAATTCAATATTCAAAAGTAAGGAAAAATTTGAGAAAAATATATCCATAGGAAAATAGATATGCAGACTTTTAAAATTATATTTCAAGGATGCTGAATGATGGGATGCTTATAACAGAGATTCAAAATTTGTATGTATACTGTGCATGCAACTATGTAAAAAACATGTGAAGAAAAACACCCATATAATTACAATTGTTCTTTCAGGTTGGTAGAATTTTGTGTGACTGATATTTTTCTTACAACTTTTTAATTTTTCAAACTCAGTGTTTCTCAAAAATGTTTCAGTTTTGTCTTCTTTAAGGAGATGTTTTAGTTTTTTTTTCCTAATCACCCCCCTATGAAATTTTAATGCCACAAATATCCTATATACTGTTTAAGTACTGTGGTCTTTTTGAGAGCTACAAAACATTGCAACCTTTAAAATTTCTTCACATACCCCCATACCCCCTTAAGAACAAATTTTCATCCTGTTGGGAACAATAATGCTCTCACTGAAAATGCATGCTCTAAATGTTCTATATTCATTGGTTTTACTTTGATAGTCAGATAAATTTTTTTTAATATTTATTTATTTATTTATACAAGAACCAGGGTACAGGCCAGATTCGCAGGAGGGTGAGAGGATTCAACAGAAACAGAACGGGGAGCAGAACAGGCAGACTGACAAAATACGCCCCTGAGGGGAGCAGTGGGCACGACAGGAGAGGTCTGCCGCGCCACATGTGGGACCCTCGCCAGGCAGCCGGGATTGAACCCGTGCTGCAGAGGCTGTGGACAGCTTCACAGTGCTGCGCTCATCCGCCTGCGCCAGCAGGGGAGGCACCAGATAAAATATTCTTAAGAGAAAGTTCTGGAGTTGGCAGTGTCAACTCAGAGGAATAAATCTCCAATAGCGGGTTTCTGGTCTTCTATCCTTGAAAACTTGAAACTATGATCTTTTTCTTTTTCAAAATTGTTATAAGTAAACATCTATTTCACCTACTATCTATATGTGTAATATGATATGTGCAATATGAAACAAATATATTTACAGGGAAGGAGAGAGTTGAATATAATAAAAGCTAATATTTATATCGTACCAGAGTATGAACAACACTCTTTTCAGGGGTGTTGTTGTTGTTGTTGTTGTTTATTATTATTATTATTACTTTATTTGTTTTAACTTTATTTCATAAATGAAAAAAATAAGGCTCACAGAAATTAAATAGCTTGCCTAAGGTCACAAGATTTTAAAGAAATTTACTGACTTCAAAATATTTATTCTTTCCATTACAAGTTGTTGAGGGGATCACCAACAGTAACCTGTGAAAATATGGTATAAGCACAAAGCAAAGGAAGCCTGTGCAATGAAACTCACTGGATAATGTTTCCGGTACTAACATTTCCATCCACACATGTTGCTACTGCCATCTGGTCCAATTTCCCCACACTACATAATTTGATTGGCTTGCCAGGATCTTGCCAACATTTTTTAAGCATTGTCATCTTTTTAGTAACTTTCCTAAAAATGCTGCACTTCTATGTCCGGAGAGAGCACATGAGGCAGTGACCCCAATCATGTAAACGTACTTCTCCCACTCTCCAAGACCCCTTGCCAAGCCACTGCTGCTGGGAGACAGCCCCAGTACATGACTTCTTGCAATGCACTTTGAAGTAGATAAAATATGCACTCATGGACATCTGTCTGTTATTTCCTGCACTCACAGCTTTGTTCTTCTTTATTGCCAGAGAATTCTATGGATGATGTCACTTTTCTCTGAAGAGAACAGGCCATCCAGAGCTTTTCACTGACATAATTAATTATCTGTAGCTTGATTCTGGGCCAGAAAATTCTCAAGGCACAGCCCCCAAAAGAATTAACTCTACAGTGCTTGCTATTCTTAAACTTTTAAAGAGACAGGACACCATATCTTTTTTTTTTTTTTCTCACACACTGATAATGGTATTTTTGTTCAGTGATATCAAGTAACAGAAAGTGAACTGGGGCACTATTCTATGATTTCACAAGGAAGACCTTCGGTTCAATGGACAGAAAACTCTAAAGGTCGCTGCAGATCAAGTACACAAAGCAAAGCTTTTAGGGCTTAGTTTTAAATTCTACAGGAATGCATCACAAATACTGAATAGACTCTTTGGGGGATCTTGTGAATCTATAGCCAGAAAAATGAGATCTCAGCCACAGTTAACTTATCCACAAGGTGAAAGGCATTCAGTTTACCAGCCACAAAAGCCGAAAACATCAATATTTTTAAACTTTACAAGAGATAAGAAACCTATGATGTAAACCATAGATTTTGAGAGTTTTCACTTATGTCTTTATAGATAGCTAAAGCAATTTGGCCAGTACATAAAAAAAAAAAAAGTGTCTCCACTCTGCTGTGTTTCAAGATTATGTAAATGAGTTATTATTTGTCTCTCTAAAATGGGTTTGATGGGCAAAGATAAAGACTATATGTCATAAAGTGGTAGCAGGATGCTGACAGAAACAGGGTCTTGAGGTCTGTCTCTGATCTTCATTGGGTAAGTGAGGAGATAGGACTCATGAAACGCTTAACTTTCTCAAATAGCAATATCCTCTTTAATTTGAAGGATTAACCAAGGCATTAATTAAATGTGCATATAACACCCTTCAAACAAAGAATTGCTATTTATGGTCTCTTCAGCTGATGATTCTGCATTAAGTGGTTTAAATTGTGCTCTCTCTCTCTCTCTCTGGATTCATTTAGCTAGATAAATTATGCCTTTTTACTATTTCAATTTACTATTGAAATTTTTAAAGATTTGAAATTATGATGCAATATATGTTGATTATAAGAAACATTGCAGAATCAATGTTAAGAAAATATGCATGTATATATTACATAACTCAAAAACTCCAATTCTATTAATAATTTGAAATAGATATTTTCAGAATTGTTTTTCTCTATAGATACATTAATATAGATGTCAACACATACACATTCTCTGTTTCTTTCTCTTTCTGTCTCTCTTCCTAATATCATTGAGTATTTACTATATGCCAGGGAATATTCAAAGTGCTTTGCAAATATTATCTCATTTCAACATCACAAAAACTGTATCAGATAGGAACTATTATTAATATCATTTTGTAAATGAGAGATCTGAGGCAAGTACAGACAAGTTCAGTGATTTGCCCAAAGTCACAATTGGTAGTGTCAGAATGCAAATCTAGGCATTCTAACTCCAGGTCTGGCAATCTTAATATTATACTTTATGAATTTTCCATATATATCAATATAGAGCCTCTCAAATATGTACCACTTTATTTTTTATTCAAGTAAAATGAAAAGCTCAAGGAGAACGCATTTAATCAACACTCATCTGATCTAAATACCTAC